GAGGCATTCCGAAACATCAGCAACAGACATCCTGCTATGACATGGAAGCCGGTGAGTGTCGACTAATGCTGCAGCTTTCGGCTCCCACCAATCAACTTTCCATGAGTCCTGAGCCCCAAACATGTGCCAAACTGAACGTAAACCCAAAGTCTGTCTGGTCCCGAAAAGGACCCTGAACCCAAAGTTTCACATCCTTCTGAGCCCAGCAGCACCAAGACGAGCGTGATAAAGTCGAAGCGATACTGAGGGGGCAGCAGCTTATTCCTTGATCCCATTCTTGGCAGGAAGAAAACAAGAAATGATCCCTTCTTCACGGACGCCCTTTAAACATGTTGGGAATCCCTAGCACCAAAAAGCAAAAGAGATCCATAACGTCGACCAAGCTTCATCTCTGTGGAAAAGTGGTCGACGAGACCTGCTTCAAGGTTACCATGAAGGCTTGGGAATTAATTTAGGGCCCATAGCTACTGCCAGTACTAGTAAGCTTGCAATGATACTGCTTAACATAACTAACTCCATTTCCCTAAAAACCGTAAAAACCTAACCCCTAGACCAAAGCAATCATAACAACAGCACACAAAAAAACAGGGAGGGACCCTAAGCCCTAAACCCTAAACCTTAAAACCCTAAAACCCTAAGCCCAAATTCCCACGGTCGACCCAGGCACTGCCAGCACCCACTCCCAGCGGCTCCTCGAGCTCCTTCAGCGGGGCTCGGCCCCGGAGGCAGAAAAGAGATTCTTGAACAAGGTCTAGGGTTTGGGGCTTAGGGTTTAGGGTTATAAGGTTTAGGGTTATAAGGTTTAGGGTTTAGGGTTTAGGGCTTGGGGGGTGCCCCTTCAAAGGGCTTTAGGGCGCCCTTTGAAGGGCTTTTGGGGGGAAGGGCTTTGGGGTGCCCGGGCTTTGCGGGTGCCCTTTAAAAGGCTTTAGGGTTCCTTTTTGGAGGGTTTTAGGGTTCCTTTTAGAGGGTTTTGGGGTGCCCTTCAAACGGGGTAACTAAGCAGAGCTATTTGTGACAAGAACAAGAAAGTGTATAAGGCCTCAGGGCTTAGTTCGAGGGCTTAGGTGGCCAGGGTTTTCTGGTGTACGGCCCGGCGAACCGAATCTCAGCTTCCTGACACAACCGTCAAAGGTACTGTCGTAATAGTTCTATAGTTCTTGGGCGTCATTCTTACGGCTGGTTACCACACCTGCTGCTTCCACTGTTGCCATGACGCCCTTTTTCTCCAACTGGACCCTAGCAGCCTCCACCCACACCTCCTAACTCCCCCAAGCCTCAACCGCCAAAGGCGCCGAACGCAGTAACATGCTGGGTCGTTGGCAAGTTATGACCCTGGGCAACATGATAGTTGTAGTCGGTAGAAGCGAATATCATGCATAACACTGGTCACTGTCAAGTTGATCAGGTTTCCATCCCATGCAACAGTCCTGTCTGTGGCAGGATTAGCACTAGAAATCATTGATAACATGCTGACACCAATAGAGGCCCAAAAACAAACATCCAACGGCTACTACAAACATAGGTGCTATACTTATATCGGTACAGACTCAGCTGCAATGAATATGTAATGAACCTAGTTGCCAAAAAACTATTTAGTACACACATATACAGAGGTCAGGTATAGATCATATGGGTAAAGTGGGAAGACTACTTGCGCTCCTGGTCTGATCCCAAGTCCCGGCAGCGCTCTTCCGTGGCGTTGTCCGCATCCTTGCTGGAGGTTTGCATTGGGATTGGATGGGTTTAGGGGTGTGGGGTTTATAGATGAGTTAGGGGTTTAGGGTTTAAGGTTTTACAGGGTATGGGGTTTATACACCAAGTTTAGGGGATTTAGGGGTTTAGGGCCAGATGCGGGGCTTGCGAGTTTTGGGGCTTGGCTCAGGCAACGCCAGGCTGGGGCCGTTTAGGCTTGTAGGGTGAGGGTAAGGGCTGGAAGGTCGGGCTTGGGGTAAGGGATCAGGTACGGGGTAAAGGGTCTGAGTCCTACGGCTTCTTGCTTTCAGGAATGAGGGTGCTTGGGGTTCAAGATGTTCGACTGGCATGGACTCTGGTTTGCATTCACATGTTTACATATGTTTATATGTCTACGAATCCCCATGCATGTACAGAACAAACCTCTTAAGCTAAAGCTCTGAACTCTTTATCGCACCAAACCACAAATACCTTCGACCCTGCACTCCAACTCAAACCCCAATACCCTTAACTTAACGCAACTCAAGGAAGTCGCGAACGGCAGTTCAAATCCCAAAGGTCACCTGAAACCCCAAGGGCCCGAATGCTTCAAAGACACCTGCATGAAGCGGGGCCAGCTGCTGGAATTGGCCGTCCTGGGTTTGGGGACGTCGTATGTGGCAGGAGGAGGCACTTTGACAGTGCGAAGGGTCTCAATGTCAATCAAAAAGAGTACATAAGCCCTAAACGGCCCTAAACCCTAAACTTCCTAAACAACACAACATGTGTTCCTGAGCACGCCCACCTAAAGGCAGCGTCTGGCGAACAGACCAGGGCTTGAGGGATAGCTGCAATACATAGCTAGCGAGAGGTCTCAGGAAAGCAGCGTCTTTAGACTGGACTTGAAACAGTCCGGATCGGCGGCAGACTGTACACCTAAATCATCTCGTTCACGCACTCTGGCCCGTAGTACGGAACGACATACACCTTCTGGCCAACTGAAGCGCCTGACTGCCTATTACGTTCAAGGTTCCGGTGAGGGTTCAGCCCTCAAACATCCAAAATATGCACTCTGTCGTACACTCAATTGTCTCTGCAGTGCTGCACTGTCGGTGCTTGGACTTTGAGGCTTGTTTGCTCCCCTGCAAGCAAGGTAAGTCTTATTGTGCTGCTTGAACATTAAACTTTAAAAGGTTGCTGTGCACTAAGTTGATTAGCAGAATAGCAACCACCAACATCAAACCCCCCCAAATTTTCCCTCACCACCTGACCACGAAGTCTCCCTTGTAAAAGGTTCGAGTCGAGCTAAAATTCCTGGTGCCAAAAACGGACGCTCTTACAGCCTCGCGAATACATGCACATCAACCCCCCAACTCCCCCACCCCCCATCCACGACTTGGGGGCTGAGGGTATTCCCGATATTACCAGTATTACCTATAGGGTTCTTGACATGGTCGAGGGTGCGTCTAGCGTTCGTGGATGGCCTCTGAACCTGCAAATGGTGGCAAAGTGAGGAGGAGGGATTCAACCCGGAAAAGGTGGCGGAATGCCCATGAAATAGCGGGGGCGCGTGTACCCCAGGCCTAGCAAACCAAGCAACATGTGGACCATGAATGACGAACGCACAATGCCGAACCACATGACAGTCGAGAAGTCATAAATTGCGCACAGCAAGAGCAAGTGACACCGTGTCCGCCGGGGCTCCAGAAAGATTAGCATCTAGGCCTTGCCAGATATGACAATGAAACTCCTGATATATCGACAAAACCAGACTCCCAGCACTGATCAGCATAGAGATCCTAGCATGGTGAGCCCTTCAAAAAGTGACGAATCCTTCATCAGGGGTCTGCGGTACGGTCTAGAAGACAGATGCAGATAAGCAGCTCCAAAGCAGAGCGTAAGCTCGTCATGTCAGCGCAGGTGATCACCGCCCTCTGCGAGAGGAGGGCCGCACGCTCGTGCAGATACCTGGGGACCGGGATATAAAGGCTTCAAGATCAGGATTTAGGTGTTGTGTGCCCAAAGGCTCCATAGTAGTTCCTTTTTGGGATTACCTTATAGGATCCTAAATATAAACCACAAAAAGGAACTACTATGGAGCCTAGGGGTGTGTGTTGGTTGTTCGAAGTTCAGGGTTCCGTGTGCGATTTGAGGCTCCCGGTGACCGCGAGAGGTGTTCCTGCTTTGTTCTTGTTGCTAGGAGTTTCGTACCTGCGTGCAAACGGAATTCAGACTTGTTGATAAATAAATGAATATATATATATATATGTACATATATATATATATATTAATATGTGTGTGTCTATGATTTCGTTCATCTATTGATTTGTTTATATACTCATTAAATACGAAGTTATGTTCTGGAAATATTCGTAAAAGTGCCAAATGTGCGTTCGATGTAGGCCATGCACTTGCTGCCTGCCGTGGCTTGCACTGCTCAGGGGAACGAACCCGTCTTACACCCCTGAAGCCCTAAGTTTAAAAAAATATTGAAACACTAAAGCCAAACACCCTGCAACAGCTAAGTGGGCAGCTTTGTTGCATGTGGTTGGGTCAACTTGTTTTTGACTTTGTGGCGCAAGCGCTCGAAAGCCTTTCGAGCAGTCATGCGAGGGCGTCAGCATACGAGGTGTATTTCCCCAATGCTGCGGCAGCTACGAGGCTTGATCCCCCAGCTAAGGACTCCGCTGCGTACAGCCTAGCATGTCCGGCAACACTACGTCCAACCACTCAGTAGAGGATCTGCGAACTACAGAAACTGGGTTCAGAATTATTTGCAATCACCACGTGTATATCACCATGATCGCTGTGGCTAGTGATGGCAAGCTTCAGTGACCCGCCGTCCACACAAAAGCGCAACTGAAACTGGTGCGCTGCAGCACGCAAACATAAGCATTGCACTGACTGGGCCGATGTTCAGATGACCTCACTTTGCGAACAGTAGCATCGTCCGCGTAGAAAGCATCTCGCAGTGCACCCGACGCTGAAAGCAAAATCGCTTCGTCCCCGCAAGTCGGAGTCTTGCCATGATGCACAAGAACAGCTCGGACCTTGTAATTGGCAGAGTAAATGTCCCGCAAGTCAACAATCTCAGGATGTTTCAGGTCACTTGAGACGCTGCCCGCTGCAAGGCCTAGAGCCGGCTTTGAATTGCAAGCCTTTGTCAGGAACGTGGGTCCATCTAGAATCTCGAAGAGTTATCTCCTAGTTTGTAATTTCTGCAGCTCGCATATTTTTAGCGTTCCTCAAATTTCTTCTCCACTACGTACCTGCTCAAGACCCGAGGAAGCCCAAAAGCAGAAAAGCCATCGTGACATTATTTTACAGTTTTACAGCTCTGCGCTCGACTCGGATGCCTCTTCCTTCGTTTCCCCACTCGTTTCCCCGCTCATCTCGCAGCAATCGAGGGGCAATTGAGAGCCGGATGCTTTCCTATCTTTCCTTGCCAGAATGAAATCGATGATCAAAATGCCTGTGGCAGTAACCACGAGGGCGCCACAGATTTCAAAACCGTGCCTGTTGACCGCAAAGGACGAGAGGAGGGCCCCTCCAGCCTGAACAAACCACTCGACGGCACCGGCACTGATGGACTCATGTACCTCGGGAACCTCGTGGCAGATGTGCGCTAGGGCCACGCCAAGAAATCCCAAGGATGCGCCGCCGACCACAGCCATGGCCACAACGAGGGAACCGCGTCGGAGGGCGACGCTGGTGGAAGCCAGGAGAGGGGACACGATTAGAGAAGCCGCTACGAGGCCCAAAGAGGCCGCAACGAAGGTGGACAGAATCAGCCGATCCGGATTCCGAAGCTCTCGAACAGAGAATAGCATCCCAGAGACGACGCCGATGGCGATGAAGGACGCATCGGTCCACTTGGTGAAGGCTGGGGTGGTATGCAGAGTTTCCGAAATCAAGACATCCTGGACCGCAGGTATTGTGTAACTTACAGCACCCAGGGTTGCGTAGCATGCCATCTTTAGGAAGAACCTTGGGTGCCTGCAGAGACTCCGGAGGTTTCTCCTGAGAGAAGGTATCTCTTCCGGCAGTGCATTACCTGCACTCTCATCGTGTAAAAGCACGAAAAGTATTATGGCGACACTCACCGCAACGGCCCGCCAAAAAAGGAATTGCTCCAGATCCTGCCGCTCTTGCACTACCGTCGGCTTCAAAAATGCACTCAAACAGGCACCCGCATAGTTTGCCTGGACGCCGATACTCGTGGCCAAGATCTGAAATTCAGGTGGAAACCAGCGCTCTCCCATGACCGCATAAGACATGCAACACACAGCGAAGGCCACACCAACACAAACAGTTGAGGCCATGCACATCGCCCAGCTGCCCTGGACGGTACTACCCCACCGTAACCACGCAGCGACTGTGTTGAAACATGCACCTGCGCCAAACACATAATAGCTTTGTCTCGGCAAAAAGTATGCCACTAAGAATGCCGTCGGCAAGGCTGTGAAGAGAGCTAGACTGTATGTCATGGCGATGTCACCGACGTCCACATCAAATATGTGGGCGCTGAGATCACTGAGCACCACGAAATCAAAGAACATGACCGCATTGGCTGCAGCGCTGTAGCCGAAAGCAGCTAAGGTGAGCCAGCTGCGCCACATCGCCATGTCGCGCGTAGCAATGCTCCTGGTGTCCTAAATAAAACAAGCTACGCAGCGGTTCGCAGCATTACGGGCTGTGGTCAGGCGACTGCAGGTGAAGCTCAAGATTTCATCGTCGGCACAACTCCCGAATTTGGAAGCTGACACTAAACTTAAACGATCATGCCTCGACTTGAAACCTGTTACTAAGGACTGCGTTAGGCGTTCAGCATGAGTCTGCATCACGAGCGCTTACCCAGGGCCCCGGCTGTATCCTCAACGCCACGATGGCGAAGCCCATCAGGGCGCAAGCACGGCGGCGGCAATATCTGCTGACCTGCAGAAGTGGAGCGAAGCTCATGTCTCACCACGCGCCGCCCGGTACCCCCTATGTACACCTCGCCCAAAAATGTCTGCCGAGAGCCGGAGCTCCTCAAAACAGAACCACCTGCCGAATTCCACAACCCTTGAACTTCATAGATCGTAGATGCATGCAGCAGGGAGTTGCAGATCCTCAAACCCATAGTGATATATCCGAAGCCCCAAAGCGACCTTAAACCCTGAGCGCTGGGATATTGGGGGGGCCAGAGAGGCTGCCAAATCCTTAGATTCGCACTCTGTTATAGTGCTCCCGAAGAGTTCATAAGGGGTTCCGGATTTAGGGTCATTGAATGTAATAAGCAGAGTACAAGATCATGACATACCGACTGCGGCTTCAGAGCTGCAAGGCTTGTATAGAGCCTTCACCCTCCACGAAATAAGCCCGAAAACACAAATCGGCGAGACGCCTGGCAGCAGTGCCAGTGTGAAGGATCCCTCTCTGCTGGCTCGGTGGGCTCTGGCCTCGCATGTACTGCAGAGTAGAAGCCTACACTATTGCGCTTCTTTTGGAGGCCCCTACCAACCATGTATCCTGCGGGGTTTAGGCTGGTCAGGTTTAATACAAAAAGCCACACAAGCCAACGCCCAACCATTTCTCTCCTCTATATGGCATTGTTGAGAACCGCGACTTAGCCACGACGACGGAGACTGCTTCAAGGCTTGAGGGCTTAAAATGGGGATGAATTTACATAGTCTGGTGCTGAGTTGCACCTCAAGAATCTGTGTTTGGGGCAGCCTTAACCTGATGATGAAAAGCTTTAATGCTGACGTACGAAAACCCCCTGGCCCTGAGCGTCCTCATGAGTAAGTCGATTGAGTGAGTTCCCTTTTCCAAGCTTTAAAGGGCTCCAGAGGAGTTTTGATATTTAGGGCTCATAGAGCTTACATACCGAATCCTGTCATCCCCAAAAAGCCGCAGCCCAAACCCCGTCAAGCCCTACACCCCAAGCTCTACGCCGTCTGTGTGCAAAGAGGAGTGGCGGCTCTCCATTGCGTCTCCGCCGGAACCTTCATTGGGCGGTTTAGGGTTTAGGGCTTAGGGTTTAGGAGGAATCGTCTTCGGGTTACGGGTTGTGGTTCGCATGTCCAGGCGGAGTTTTCAAGTTCCAAGCTTGGAAGCATGTGATGCAACTGTGATGCAGGCCTGACGGAGAGAATTGAGGAGACTGAAAGAGACAACAGCAGCTTCCCTTCTTCCTGCCATGGCGTCCTGGCACGCTGTGAACCTGTATGGGAGCTACAAGCTTTTGGACCTACGGCATACATTATAGTGTTCTTGCCATGAGGATGCTGCTGTACAACAAGTCGCATATTGAGGTCCCAAACTTTCCGCATGTTTTGTGCTGGGCCACAGAGCTCGGCTGTTCTGCAGCACTTCCAGGCTCCACTTTCCCAGGGCCATGGCAGCGCATTTGATGGCTTTAGGGTATCATTGTTGCTGGAGGGTCAAGGGGCTTGGCGATGCGAGTTCTTTCAATCCACAACTTTGCTTGAAAAGGGTTGAGGCCTTGAGGTTTGAAGGTTCAGGTCAGGTGTAGAAGGTGTAAGTCTGAGACTTGGGGCAAGACTCTTGCATCCTAGGTCGTCTTAGGCGCTGAGAATTTGTAGATTCGGGCTTCTTCAATCCGATACAGTTGGGCTTGGTCTCGGGGAGCCCAAAAGGCTTCAGGTGCGAGATTCTTCAAACTACGATGTAGGAGCAAGGCAGACTGCTGTACAGCCCCGCTGAGACATTTCTGAAGTGATTCCCACCCGAAAGACAGACTCCCAGACAACTTCATCCGGTTCATTCCATGATCCTAAAACCGTAAAGCCAACTTCGTGCAGTCACAGCCCAGTCTTGCAGCTGGGTGCTAGGCCCCGCTAGGCTTTTAAGCACAAGGATGACAGGGCCATAGTGCTGAGGGCTCAGGAAATCCAGCATCTCCTACAACTTGTCCCATGTTGCGACCATCCAGTGGACAGTTTGTCACTATTGATCCTGACATTTCCGCTACCTCTACTACTGCTACTGCAGCTGCTACGACGACGCCGACGACTGCCATGACATAATGGCTTCTATCAGATTCTATCATCTGCTTGATACTCGTGGCTGTGGCAAACGACTGCATGGTGGCCCAGGGCACTTCATTCCGGAAGCCACATCCAGAAGTATCTGCCACAAAGGTTGGCTTAGGGGGTTGAGGGTTTCAAACTAAGGCTAAGGCTTAGGGTTTAGGATTTAGGTTTGGTTTTAGGTTTAAGGTTGTGGGTTCAGGGTGTTTCGCTGGGCCCTAACCAGCAAGAAGAGAGTTTCGGAGCTAAGGTTTCGAGCTTCGGAACCGTGGGCAACAAGCAGTAGCGAGCATGTCCGGAAACATGCGACCTTCCGCACGCACGTGCTGCGAATCGTTCACAGATTTGGCCCGAGACAGCGAGCACTCGTCTTCGAAATACCTCGAAACGTTCTAGCTTGAAACGCTCTTGTCTAGCCTTGCTGACCAAACGCACGAAGATGCTGCTTCCAAGCATCATGTGCCCTGAACTGGAAAAATCGAAGGACTCAAATCAAGACCCGCCACCCTGAACGCCGCCAAGCCCTTTAGAGTAGAGCCCTTGTTCAAGCACTTACGGTACAGTAGAGCTAGGCAAAACAAACCCCGAACCCTGAACGCCTAAACCCTAAACTACAAAACCGAAAACCCTAAACCCCTCTAAACCCTAAACTACAAAACCGAACACCCTAACCCCCTCGAAACCCTCCACCCCAAGCAAACGAAGCCCCGCACGACCTTGACCTGCTGCCACAGGGACAGTTCTTGGTCACCTCGAGCACGGCCCGAGGGCTTTAGGGTCTACGACTACGAAATTTAGAGCTTCTGGCTTAAGACCAAAATCCAAACTCCAAAACCCTCCTGGAGGAAGGTTGATAATTGATAACTAGTCCCGAGTCGCGGAAGATTGGAAATGAGGTCTCTTCAGGTTACTTGCTTCAGGATGTCAAGGTTGGCTTGGATAGCAGAATCAGCTTGGGGTGTCAGACAACCGAGCAAAATACTGAACACACACACACACACATCAAAAGAAAAAACACACAGAGAGCAACAAACAGCATGGGCAGGAATGGCCTGCTTTCTCTGCTCCTCTCTCCTACTGCTACTGCGGTGGCACAACAGCCAAGTGGGGGGGGGTCACGGTCCGGCCTCAAATGTCTAGCAGCTTAGCAGTTCAGGCTGGGCATTCACCCTCAGCTGAGGAGCCTGCTCCTCCGGCTGCTACTGCTACTACAACTCCTCTTCCTCCTCCTACTCCACCTCCTCCTCCTCC